ACTCCCCCAGCCTAGGGTGGAGGCCACTGCTGTGTATTCCATATGCCTCTACGTGTGCTGCTAAACCACCTGTCACACTTTATTGAAATTGCTTTTTAATCAGGGACAGTATTTCTCAAGCCTGAATAATGTACTGACTTCTCTTAAAGAAAATACTTTTCATGGATTTGCCTACCTCACAGTGTTGACTTGAATAATTTTTATCACATTCTTTAAGCATGTACAAACATAAAACTGGGTTTTAAAGAAAAAAAACTACTTGCTTTTGCTCTTACACACAACTGTAAAATAACCAGTTTTCCAAGGTAAAGAAATGTAAAAGGAATGGGATTCCATCCAACTGCATTAATATCAAGTGCTGGATGGTGTGTTGTTGGCTGCACTAGGATAAGTAGGGAGACAGAGGCACTGCCTGGCTCCAGAGTTGAGCAAAGCTGGGTGGCCAGAGGCCACGGCACTGCTACTTGTGACCAAAATGGAAACAAGACCAAACGGTTCTTGTGAAGAACTCGTGGGCCCTCGGATGCCACGCCCCCAGATCCCTGCATTACAGAAATGTAGGTCTGGGCCATGGATTAGCTGCTGCAGACTGGAGGCTTCTGCGGAAGGGCCGGCTGGGTCTCGGCATCCCCTGGTGGGAAGGGTTTCAGAGGTGGCCACCCTGAGAGTTAAGGGGCAGCCTGGACCGTGTGGCATTCTTTTTTAATATTTATTTGTTTGACCACGTCAGGTCTTGGCTGTAGCACGGGCACGCAGTAGTTGTGGCGCTCGGGCTTAGCTGCCTTACAGCATGTGGGATCCTAGTTACCTGATCAGGATCCAACCTGCGTCCCCTGCACTGTGAGGCGGACGCCCAACCTCTGGGCCACCAGGGAAGTCCCCCGACTGGCGTTCTTGATGAAAACTGTACTGTGAATCCCAAACAGTGCCAGCCACATACCCCTGCTTGAAGGTCTCACCGGCACCCCAGCTTTCCTGGCTGATAACACCTAATTTCTCCAAGCTGGATCCTTCCTTCTCTAAGGAGTTCCCCCGATAGCCCTTTCTCAGCTCGTTTGGTCTCACCAGTTCCAGTACACTTGCTGTTGTTGTTTAGTTGCTCAGTCGTGTCTGACTCTGCGACCCCACAGACTGTAGCCCACCAGGCTCCTCTGTCCATGGAATTTCCCAGCCAGGATACCGGAATGGATTGCCGTCTCCTCCTCCTCCAGGGGCTCTTCCTGACCCAGGGATTGAACTGGCATCTCCTGCGCTGGCAAGTGGATTCTTTACCACTGGAGCCACCAGGGAAGCCAGCATTTCAGGAATATGGCTTCTCTCCTGCCCTGATTCAACCTGGATCACCTGCCACTCCTCTACTTGGAACCCTTCAGTGGCTGCTGTACCAGCCTACAGAGCAGGCTCATCCCTGGCCTCCCATTTCCTGCCACCCTGACAGATACCCAGACCCCTTTGCGTCCACCCTGACCAAGGGGACCCCTGACCCCTAGAGGAGCTCTGTGCTTCCACAGCACCAGGACTGGTCAGCATTTGGAATTGACTGATGGCCTTTTTTTAAAAAAGTGACTGGTTTATCTGGCGTGACTGGTCTTGGTCACTCCCTGTGGGATCTCATTCCCTGACCAGGGATTGAACCCAGACCCCTGCATTGGAAGTTGGGAGTCTTAGTCACTGGTGCTGTGCTTAGTCACTCAGTCCTGTCCGACTCTGTGCCTGCCAGGCTCCTGTGTCCATGGGGATTCTCCAGGCAGGAATACTAGAGTGGGTTGCCATTCCCTTCTCCAACCCAGGGGATCTTCCCAGCCCAGGTCTCCACATTGCAGGTGGATTCTTTACCCTCTGAGCCACCAGGGAAGCCCTGAATGATTTTTAGAACACTAAACTCCAGAAGCCTAGTCTTATTTATCATACATCCTAAGTGTTCGCTTAATGCCAGGTATCTGGTAAATGCTCAGTAAATAATTCTTGAAGTGACAAAGAGAAGATTAAACTGTTGAAAATGTCTACAATGAGGACTTCAGAAGTACAGAAATGCAGTGGCTCCTTAACCTAGAAAAGTTGGTGTAAGCCAGTCCCTGGAAGCATCTCTTTTTCCTGTATTTAATTTTTAAAATTTCCATTATTTATTAAGAACATTTGCAAATAACCGCAAAAGTAAGAGAATATTGTAATAACACCTCTGGCATCCATCACCTGACTCCAGTCAGCATCAAGCTTTTGCCAAGCTTGTTCACTCTCTCCCCAGGACGTCCCTTTTGATTGTCTCCTTTAACTGGCCCAGGAGCAATCTCATTAGCAAGTCAATGAGTCATTTAACTAACTGGTTTGCTGGTACTTGCCCCCGGGCTAGGCAGTTGTGAGGGTAAAAGCAAAAAGTCATTTGTGCACAGGCCCCAGTGACACCCTCTAAGCCCACTGTATTGCTGTGCTTCCTAACTGTTCTAAGGGGCTGCCTGTTGGGGAGGGAAGGTAAGCGTGGCAGGGAGGGGTGGGCCCATTTCCCTCCACCGTGTGGGGTATTGATGGGGGGTGCTCTGTGCCAGACCTGATGCTGTGTCCTGGAAACACCACAGTAGAACAGGCACTGTCCCCACCCTCCACCCTACTCCCCAGGGGGAGGGAAGGCATTATTCAAAGGACTCAGGATTCGGTGTAGTTAATTTCCAGTGTGGTGTCAGCTGAACTGCCCTGGTAGGCAAGGCTTCTCTCAGGAAGCTGAATCTGGAATCCTGACAGACTTGAAGGATTGGGGAGGTGGGGTCAGCAGTCCCTCTGATACTTGTCCTGGGCCAGAGAGGGACCAAAGCTGTAGTGACCTGCTGCGTGGTCAGGGGGTGGCCTGGCCGTGCCCTGGCATGCATAGGCATGACCCTATAAACTGCAGCCTGCCACCTTCCTCTGTCTATGGGATTTCCCAGGCAAAAATACTGGAGTGGGTTGCCATGCCCTCCTCCAGGGGATCTTCCCGACCCAGGGATCAAACCTGTGTCTCTTACATCTCCTGCATTGGCAGGCGAATTCTTTTATCACTGCACCTTTACCATTCGAAGCTGCTCTCTTTACTCTGAAAGGCTCCAAAGCCAGGCTCCCGGCTTCTTCCTGCAGGTAACCACTGTCTCCCCACCTTAAGGCTTTTCATCTGTGTGTTTTGTTTTGTTTTCTGAGCTTTTGTATAAAACTTTTTTGCTTAAATACGGGGTTTGGCCCACTAGGACAAGTTAAACCAGTGGGCTAAACCATTGGTTCTTAAGCTTGGGTGGCAGAATTCTGGAAAGCTTGTTTAAAAATACACATTCCTAAAAAAAAAAAAAAAAATACACATTCTTGATTCCACCCTCTTCTATCCCCCATCTATAAAGCAGAATATATAGTTTTTAAAAATCACCCTTAAGGTGATCTAACATAGCCACCTGCCTTTAGGAGCACCCAGATAGGAATGGTCACAACTCAGGTGGAGGGACTGGATGTTTGGGAAAGGTCTCTCTGTGCCCTCATTCTTTCCCCTCTTTTTACTTCTGTCTTTCCCAGCTGAAAAGACTTACTAGAGTTAAAGCACTCCTGGGACTTCCCTGGTGGTCCAGTGGTTAAGACTACGCTGCCAATGGAGGAGACCTGGGTTTGATCCCTGGTTGGAGAACTAAGACCCCACATGGTGCGTGACACAGCCAAAAAAAAAAAAGCACTCACATGCCTTCAAAAGACCTGCTCTGATCCTCATGGCCTTCATCAGCTCCCTAGTGCCCCTCCCACTCCCATTTGCCACAGTGATTCCTCCTGTGTCCTTCATCTGGGCCACTGATTTAAAAAAACTACTGACAGGGCAGCAGCCTTTCAGACAGAGCCCTGCCTTATGGTAGGGACAGTCTTCAGGCACCCAGCCTGTGTTTTGCTGTATCAATCACAGAATTCACCTTGGCATTCTCCTACCCACTCCTCAGGGACCTTGAGCTGGAGCACGTCATGTGCTTTTTTTTCCCCCGATTTAAGCTTGGGTTGAGCAGCCAGAGGGAGCTGCAGAAAATCCACACAGCCCGTTATCACAGCGGGCACTGGTGGTACACTCGGGCCTTGGGCCCTTCCCCCGCCTCCCTCAGCTGTGCATTTCTATCGGATGAGAAGACAAAACAGACAGTAAGGAGGCTGCCAAGTTTTCCGCAGGCCAGGGTGAGCTTGGGGAGGGGGGTTTTCTTATGCTGTTCGCTTCTCAGAATTAGAAGCCAAAATGGGAGGTGCAGCGAGAGGCTAGGTGCCCACGCGTCTGCTGGTAAAGCCAGGCTCCCCTCCACATGACTGCACTCAGGACAGAAACACTGGTCATGTTTCTGCTACATCCTGGGATGGGGGAGAGGTGCAGTGCTCTCCTGGGGCACAGGTAGATGGGAGGCAGCTGGAGACAGAGATAGAAGCCTCTGAGCAAGGAGGAAGGGCCTTGGGCTGACTGTCTTTAGTTTTTCACATGGTTGTTGCCTGGAACCAGGCTATTTGGACCACATCCCAGCCTTTGCACTTGTTACTGAATCTCTCTGATCAGGGCTCTGTTTCTTCAACAGCTGAAATAAAATGGAGCTCATCACAGAAGCTGTCTCATAAACTTGTTTAGTCACTAAGCAGGTCCTGATTCTTTTGTGACCTCATGGACTGTAGCCCCACCAGGCTTCTCTGTCCTTGGGATTTCTCAGGCAAGAATACTGGAGTGGGTTGCCATTTCCTTCTCCAAGAGATCCTCCCAGCTCAGGGATTGAACCTGTGTCTCCTGCATTGCTGGCAGGTTGTTTACTGCTGAGCCACCAGGTAGAAGATGAAATAAGTTAGTTTGATGGGAGATGTTCAGAACAGCAGCAGTCATATGGAGGGGAGCCTGGCTTTACCAGCAGATGCGTGGGCACCGAGCCTCTAACTGCACCTCCCATTTTGGCTTCTAATTCTGAGAAGCGAACAGCATGAGAACAGCCCCCTCCCCAAGCTCACCCCGGCCTGCGGAAAACTTGGCAGCCTCCTTACTGTCTGTTTTGTCTTGTTCAACAAGTGTCTGCTTTTAGGATTACGATGACGACTTTCAGCTCTCTGTTTTGTTCCTCTATTCAGTAAGACACAGCAAATGAGAGTGAGAAGAACAGGAGGGCCCCTAAAGCCAAAAGACCTGGACTTGAACCCCAGCTGTGTACTTGGAGGCGGTGTGGCTTGGGGCAGATTGTTTCATCTGTGAGTTCCGGGTCCCTCTGTAGTACTTTGGGGACGCTGCTTGCTACTGTCAAGGCTTGCTTGCAGATTAAACATATCACAAGTGAGATGGCTGGCATGGGACCTCATATCAGAGTCCTTCCTGCCTTCGTCCTCTTAGCCTGTTCAGTCTCACTTCTCCCTCAGGGCCCTCCTGCCACTGCAGCCAGGACTGGAGTGAGCAGCTCGGCCCCGTCAGCTGATGGCTGCTGTCTGTGTGTGCTCGCTCTGAGAGGACCAGAGAGGGAAGGTGGAGTAAATGAGAACCGCAGAGGCAGGGTCTTTCTAGGCTGGAATGGAGAGGGAGAGAAGCAATAAGAAGCCTTTGGTGCTGCCTTGCCTAGGAGCATTCCCAGCCTGACAGGACCTGGAGTCCAGTGCCGTCCTTGGCTCACCTGTAAGAGCAAGTGTGGCTGCAGGCTGCTGGGCAAGGAGCCGTGTATCTCCAGGTGCCAGCTGTGGTCACAGGTGGCTGTCCCTTTGAGTAGTGGTACTCGAGGCCTTGCCCAAGGTATGAGCCGAGAAAGGCGATAGGTAGAGGTAGAAGCTGGTCCAGGAGCCCTGAGGAGACTGGGCCTTTGGTCCATTCACCTGTAAGAGGAACGTTAGACGTTTTTGCAGCCCACACAGTTGCCGGCATCTCAGCACAAGGCAGGTGTGTGTGTGTGAAGGGGGGGGGTGGGTCCTGTCTTTCCCTCCCCCTGCAGCAGCTGCTACATGCTCTGTAAGTTATCTGTTGATAAACTAGGAGGAGATGGAGAAGGAAATGGTAACCCACTCCAGTATTCTTGCCTGGAAAAGTCCATGGACAGAGGAGCCTGGCGGGCTGAAGTCCATGGGGTTACATGACCGAGCATGTGTGCACGAGGGTGGAGGGAGATGGGTTGGTAGCAATAAAGTGGTAGAACTAAAAAAAAAAAAAAAAAAACTAGGAGGAGAGAAAAGACAGGACCATGAGAAGACTTAAGTTGAAGAAAGTAGGGAAAACCACTAGGCCATTCAGGTATGACCTAAATTAAATCCCTTAAGATTATACAGTGTAAGTGACAAATAGATTCAAGGGATAAGATCTGATAGAGTGCCAGAAGAACTATGGATGGAGGTTCATGGCATTGTATAGGAGTCAGTGATCAAGGCCATGCCCAAGAAAAAAATGCAAAAAGGCAAAATGGTTGACTGAGGAGGCCTTAAAAATAGCTGAGAAAAGAAGAGAAGTTAAAGGCAAAGGAGAAAAGGAAAGATATACTCATTTGAATGCAGAGTTTCAAAGAATAGCAAGGAGATATAAGAAAGCCTTCCTAAATGTTCAGTGCAAAGAAATAGAGGAAAACAATAGAATGGCAAAGACTAGAGATCTCTTAAAGAAAATTAGAAAAAAAAAAATTAGAGGTACCAAGGGAACAATTCATGCAAAGATGAATACAATAAAGGACAGAAATGGTATGGACCTAACAGAAGCAAAAGATATTAGAAGAGGTAGCAAGAATACATGGAAGAACTATACAAAAAAGACCTTAATGATCCAGATAACCATGATGGTATGATCACTCACCTAAAGCCAGACATCCTAGAATGCAAAGTCAAGTGGGCCTTAGGAAGCATCATGATGAACAAAGCTAATGAAGGTGATGGAATTCCAGTTGAGCTATTTCAAATCCTAGAAGATGATTCTGTTAGAGTGCTGTACTCAACATGCCAGCAAATTTGGAAAACTCAGCAGTGGCCATGACTGAAAAAGGTCAGTTTTCATTCCAATCCCAAAGAAGGGCAATGCCAAAGAATGTTCAAATTACTACACAATTGCACTTATCTCACACACTAGCAAAGTAATGCTCAAAAGTCTCCAAGCCAGGCTTCAGCAGTACGTGAACCGTGAACTTCCAGATGTTCAAGCTGGATTTAGAAAAGGCAGAGGAACCAGAGATCAAATTGCCAACATCCGCTGGATCGTAGAAAAAGCAAGAGAATTCCAGAAAAACATCTACTTCTCCCTTATTGATTATGCCAAAGCCTTTGACTGTGTAGATCACAACAAACTGGAAAATTCTGAGAGAAATGGGAATACCAGACCACCTTACCTGCCTCCTAAGAAATCAGTATGCTGGTCAAGAAGCAACAGTTAGAACTGGACATGGAACAATAGGCTGGTTCCAAATCGGAGAAGGAGTACTTCGAGGCTGTATATTGTTAACCTGCTTGTTTAACTTATATGCAGAGTACATCATGAGAAATGCTGGGCTGGATGAAGCGCAAACTGGGATCAGGATTGCTGGGAGAAATATCAAACTCAGATACGCAGATGATGCCACCTTTATGGCAGAAAGTGAAGAGGAACTAAAGAGCCTCTTGATGAAAGTGAAAGGAGAGTGAAAAAGCGGACTTAAAACTCAACATTCAGAAAACAAAGATCATGGCATCCGGTCCCATCACTTCATGGCAAATTGATGGGGAAACAATGGAAACAGTGACAGACTTTATTTTCTTGGGCTCCAAAATCACTGCAGATGGTGACTGCAGCCATGAAATTAAAAGATGCTTGCTCCTTGGAAGAAAAGCTATGACCAACCTAGACAGCATATTAAAAAGCCAGAGACGTTACTTTGCCAGCAAAGGTCCATCTAGTCAAAGCTATGGTTTTTCCAGTAGTCATGTATGGATGTGAGAGTTGGACTATAAAGAAAGCTGAGCACCAAAGAATTGATGCTTTTGAACTGTGGTGTTGGACTCTTGAGAGTCCCTTGAACTGTAAGGAGATCCAGCTAGTCCATCCTAAAGGAAATCAGTCCTGAATATTCATTGGAAGGACTGATGCTGAAGCTGAAACTCCAATACTTCGGCCACCTGATGAGAAGAGCTGACGCATTTGAAAAGACCCTGATGCTGGGAAAGATTGAGGGCAGGAGGAGAAGGGGACCACAGAGGATGAGATGGTTGGATGGAATCACTGATTCAATGGACATGAGTTTGAGCAAACTCCGGGAGTTGGTGATGGACAAGGAGGCCTGGCATGCTGCAGTCCATGGGTAACAGAGAGTCCGACATGACTGAGCGACTGAAGTGAACCGAGGAGAAGAACCGACAATGTGGAAAGTAGGTCAGGCCACTCACGGTTTAGGCCGCTTTGGTGGTTAACCATGGTGCTCTGGCCTCGTGGGGTCAGCCCTGCCTGCTTCTGTCTGTCCCTTACACCAAACCCTTTCCTGCCTCTCAGGGCCTTGACATTTGCCTTCCCTCTGTCTGGAACATCCTTCCCTCGGCTTTCTGCATGGCTGGCTGTTCTAATCCATCAGGTTTCGGTCTCCCCATTCCCTTCATCTACAGAAGTCACTCTTATGTCTATATACTGCCTTTTTATTCCTGGCACTTCTTGGCAGCGATGGTGATGTTTGTTCACTGCCAGTCTCCACAACCAGATGGACTTTAAGCTCCACGGGACAGAGCGTGTGTCTGTTTAATTCACAGAAGCATCCCCAGCACCAAGAGCTGGCCTGGCACGCTAAGCACTCCGTAAACACTGAGTGAGTGCAGAGTCCTGAGAGGGAGGGCAGCAGGGAGGTGAGGAGTTCTAACTTGGCCATTCCAGTGAATGAAAGAAGCTGGGCTTTGGGCCTCTGATATCCTGAGAGAAAGATGCCAGAGAATAGGGGTGGTTGTTCCTCCAGATCCAAAGGGCCAGGCTTGGCGAGCCCTGGCTGGAGGTGGACTCCTGCCTGACTTCTCCAGGCTCAGCTTTCTGTATGTTCTTGAGTAGAATGGGAATTGACCAAACACATGGGGCTGATAAAACTGTTAGCAGAAAATTGCATAGATGTATGGTCCATAGGGTCGCCAAGAGTAGGATACGATTGAAGTGATCTAGCATGCACACACAGTGCTTAAATGGCTACTTCTCAACGAAAATGCCTAGCAACATGCCTAGAGGTGTGGGTATGGACCACGCTACACCCATGCCTCATCACCAACACGCTCCCACAGTCTCTTCTCTCCAGTACTTTCGTGTTAGCAGCAAAGGGATTTGGCCTCTTTCCCCCGGCAGTAGCTCCTCCAGTGGAGGGCCAGAGGGAGAAGGACATGGAAAAAATGATAAGGGGTTGTATTTGCCTATTTAAGGGAAACCTGGTTTTGTATTTATGAGCTTACACCAGCCATGCAGCTAAGAAACTGTTTCCTAGTCTAATCCATAGCTTCTAAAATAATGCCCAGGTGAGCTGTTACAGGATCGATCAGTGTTACTCTAGGCTGTTAGGAGTAAATGAGAGGAAAGGAGATATGAGAAGCTGGTGTTTTAGATGCCAGTAGTCATGCCATAATTAGGTGCCTTCTCCTCTCGGGTGTGCAGAAGCTGTTCACACTTCCTAAACAATTATCTGCCCTCATGGTGTCATTCATTCAAGTATGAAGAAACTGTCAGGCCCACCCACAGCAGCTGTGGTCTTCCCTGTTGGCTCAGATGATAAAGAATCTGTATGCAATACAGGAGACCTGGGTTTGATCCCTGGGTCAGGAAGATACCCTGGAGGAGGGAATGGCTGCCCACTCCAGTATCCTTGCCTGGAGACCCATGGACAGAAGCCTGGCGGGCTACAGTCCGTGGGGTTGCAGAGTCAGATATGACGGACCAGCTAACACACTGTAGCAGCTGTAGGTGAAGAGATGTGTTTTGAAACCATGTTCTCTGTCTAGCCCAATTTCGATCAGCCAAGACTTGTAAGAGTAGGCCTTCTCCAGGTAAAGAAGTGGGTGTTCCAGAAAGAACGAATGTGATGTGCAAAGAAGCATGGAGCCTTTTTTTTTCTCTTTTTTAAGCACAGGGCCTCAACGAAGGCTGGTGAGCAGTTTCACACTAACAATTATATAAGGGCTGGAAAGATAGGCCATGAACAGGGGAGGGGTTTACTACCCAGGCCCAGGAGTTTGGACTTGATTCTATAGGTGGTAGGAGACAAATGGCAGTTTTCTAGAACAAGAATAATAGTGTTGCATTTTACTTTACTTTTTAAAAAATATTTTCTATTTTAGGTGCATCAGGTTTTAGTTGCAGTACACAGACCATCTTTGTTGTGGCAGGTGGGCTCCAGAGTGCGTGGACTCTGTAGTTTGAGGTACACGGGCTCTCTAGTTGAGGCGCAGGCTTAGTAGTCATGGCACGTGGGCTTAGTTCCCCGATCAGGGACTGAACCCACATACCCTGCATTGAAAGGCAGATTCCTAACCACTGAACCACCAGGGAAGCTCTGGGGTATTGCACTTTAGAGAGTGAGTGACAGCCAGTGGCAAGGCTGAACTGGAGAGCTGTTCGAGCCTTGTTCTCAGAGAACACCACCGTGGGTCCTCGCAAACCTGACTGGTTCTTCCCATTCCTGTCTCCATCAGCACTGCCGTGCTGTCCCTTCATTGGCTGGTTGCATTTTATTTTCATTTATCTGATTTCTTCTTTAACTCTCTCTTCCCAACAAACATCTGTCTGAGGGCTGCAGTTGTACCTGAATTGTTTGCTGCTGTGTTCCTGGGGCCTGGAACAGGGGCTTTGTAGCTGGTTTCAATCGAGGAACCTGATCCCGGGGTCTCATTCTCATTCCAGATCTGTAACT